CTGTCAGTCAGAAAAGTCTGAATCAAATACAAATAACCATGCCAGAGATAGATACTACACAAAAGCAGAGTATGAAAATATTCTTAAAGACTACATTCAGGCCAGCTAGTGACGGAACCTCATCCCAAATGGCTGACAGCATGGTTCAAGTCCTAGACCTGGTACCTTGAGAAATATACTGGGCTTATGTACATGTGTGCCAAGTACGTTGGCACATACATACCAACAGGAGGGAAAAATGGAGAGGGGATTGTAGCATGGTCATTCCCTATGGAGGGTGCTTTATACTTTCCCTCTCTCTGTGTATCCCTGTCTTACTCCAGCAAGTACATGCACCCTCAAGCAGATTTAAATAAATAAATAAAAGGCCACATTCAATGCTTTTTTTTATCTAAAACCTTCTAAAAGTGTTTCTTCACCTCAATATTACTGTCACTAACAGTAATGCTTCTTAGTTATGTTCAGATAAAACAGCAGTTGCCTTGAAACTCTGCTTAGTTTTAATAACATTGAGTGTTGTTGTCATTTACAACACTGCAACTGCCAGACTCCTTTGCAAAACTAAATGATAGATACCACAGAACCATCTGTGCCTGCGACAATGAAAAAAATAAGTTCCAACTCAAAAGTCTAGCCATAAATGGCAGACATTTGTAGACTATTTCTTTGTGGTCCAAACACACAATTTTATTAAAAAAATAATTTAAAAAAAATCTTACTAAGCTTTCAAGCTTTCCCCATTATTTAAATCTAGTATGAGTGACAGACTTAACGAACATTCTAAAAACAATAGCAAAGGTTAACTGTAAATATTTAAGCTTAGTAAGACGCAATTTCCTTATGATAATTACTTAGTTCAGAGAGACAGATTCCTTTATCCTTCACTCAAGTATAATCTATTCTTCCCACTACTAACTTCATCTACTTTGATAAGTCATGAGGTTTCCCCACTATCAGAAGCTAAAGATATTATAGACAGCCTAGAGGAGAGTACTTGTCATACCTCTGGCCCTAGGATGAAACCAAGACCATGTATCCAGAAGTACCTATAAGAGAGTATGCTGTAGTTTACACTGAAGGAAAAGAGAATGAGTTCTTACTCAGGATGTATCTGAGGAGGGTGGGAAGGATTCCTAATCAAAACAATGCTTAAGGATGCTATCAGTATTTAATGCCCAGAGATCTGTACTATCCTAGGATACATAGGAGAGGTCCATAAAAGAAAAGTTCCCACCTCAGCTACCATTAACACTCCTCCCTGCACCAAGAAAACTGGGAAGGGGAACTGTAGGCAGACTTCATGTAAGTTTCACCAGTATAACCAATCATTCAGACAGAACAGACGGTCTAATTGTTTTAATGACCAAAAGTACTTTTTAAAAATCCTTTTTAAGGTTCTGTTTCAAATAAGGCATTATTGACTGAAAGATTTTCCACGAAGATCAGATACAAGATAAGAATGCCCCTTTGGGAAATTCCATTCAACACACTACTGAAAGCACTAGCCAGAGCAATGAGGGAGGAAAAAGAAGAGGTGTCAGAATTAAAAGAGAAGCATGGGCCAGCCAGTGGCGTGTTGGTTAAAGTAGCTGGATCCCAGATGGCTGACTGCGTGGTTTGAGTCCTGGACCCAGTGGCCTAGGAAACACACTGGATGTGCACGCATGTATGCCACAAATCACAAGAGGATAATTGGAGAAGGGATTTCCGCGTGGTCATCCCCTCTGAGAATGCTTTCTCATGTTCCCTCTCTTTCTCTGTGTCTCTCCCCAGTGAGTGCACATTTCCTATGGCATACTTAAAAAGAAGTAAAGTTATTTGTTTATAGAGTACCAGCAGGTGGCATAATGGTTATGTCGCTGGACTCCCACCTAATCAAGCACAGAGTTCTGAATCTAGCAGATTAAAACTCACACTAGGCATGTGTGTATACATGACCAAAATCCTGAGAGGAAACTGTAGAAGAAGGGATTGTGGCGTGGCCATCCTCCTGGGGGGGGATTTCGCACTGTCTGTCTCTTTGTTTCTCTGGCAAGTGCACATACCCTACAGCAAAAATCTCTCCTTAAAAAAAAAAAAAAAATTTGTTTGCAGGTAACACCGTCTTATATATAGAAAATACTACAGATCCCACAAAAAAATTACAATAGACAAATTCAGCAAAATTGTGAATTACAAAATAACATAAAAATCATTGCCTCTCTAAACAATGAACAGCCTGTAAAAGAAATTAAGAAAGCGATTCTTAGAACCAGGAGATGGTATAATGGTTATGTCACTGGACTCCCACATAATCGACTGCAGCTTGAGTCCCAGATCCAGTGGCTTAAAACTCACACCAGGCACGTGTGTGTGCATGCCTAGAATCCCAACTAGAGAATAGAGGAGAAGGGATTGTGGTGGGAGTAGTTTTTCACTTTCTGTCTCTCTGGTGAGCACACGTGCCCTATAGCACGTGTGCTATATAAAATAAAAATTTTTAAAAAGCAATGCTATTCAGAAAAGCATAAAAAAAATGCTATTCAGAAAAGCATGAAAAACATAACCAAGAAGGTTAAAAAAAAATAGACTTGTACATTGAAACTACAAAATACTGCTGAAGGAAATTAGAAATCACTGTAAAATCCCAATAATGCTTTTTTCAGAAACAGAAAAATTCATCCTAATACTCATAGATTTTCAAAGGACACAGAATACATTTTCAAGGGGACAATCTTGAAAAAGAATTGTTGGAAGTCTCACAATTCATCATCTTAAAACTTATTACTAAGCTATATGGAAAGAGACGTCAGTAACATGGAACGTCAGTAACATGGAAGAAAAGGAGGCCCCACCTTCCTCCACGGAAGAAGTAACTTAATGGAAAATACACAGACCAATTACTTCCATGAGAGTTCCAGTAACCAGTTCAGAGGCTTTTGTCTTCTTCAGAAGCATGTAGCCACATTGAAGATGGGAGGTAAATTATTTATTCACCACAACCCTCCCTTCAGCTCTGCACAGTACGATTAGGAAAAAAGATTCCTAAGTCTCAGCTACTCTTTCTCTTTTTTTTCAGAAAGATTTTTAGCACAGGGCTCACTAGAGAGACAGAAAATGAGAAATCACCCTCCAAGGGATGGCCACATCACAATCCATTCTCCTCCATTTTCCTCTCAAGATTTTGGACACGTACACACACCCGCCCAATGTGAGTTTTAAGCAACCAAGTACAGGATTTGAACCACAGTCAACTCCATGGGAGTCCAGCAACATAACCATTAAACCACCTGCTGGTTCTCAGCTTCTCTTTCAAGAAGGAAGGAAAGAGAAGAGTGAAACTCATATACAACATTCTTTTCCGGAGGTTGCTCAAGAAACTGATGTCTGTCTCTCACGACTCTAAGCCCTGACAGGAACTGATACAAAGATGGGAGCCCTGAAAACACAGATCACTAGGGCTTGGCAGAGCACTGGAGAGTCTGTGGTATCACATAAAGATAATAGGGGGACCTCCAGTATCATGACTTGCTAAAGTATTGGGGTGGGGAAGGGCTTGCAGTACTGTAGACAGACAGGAAGGACAAGAAGCAGAAGGGGCTCTGAAGCAGAAACAGGTAAACAAAATTCTTTAAATAGAAGACTGTAAGGCCAGAGAAAACTCATGACCAAAATAGTTAAGAAGTCTCCAGATTCTCTTGGCCAGGCTGACTGATGAAGGTCCTTCTGATACAAAGCTAGAAAGTAAAGACTAAAAGAGGTGGCTGCTTTTTATTTAAATGCCCAAGTCCCAGCAAAAAATTAGGTATACAAAGGAACAAGAAAACATGGCTCAATCAAAAGAATAAATTAAATCTCTAGAAACCCATCCTTAAGAAACAGACATACAAAATAACCAAATAATTTAAAAACCTATTGAATGAGAAAAATTGTTTTTGCAAATCATGTATCTTATACAGGGGTTAATATCCAGAAAATGGAAATAATTCCTACAAATGAACAATTTTAAAAACACAAATAACTTGATTTAAAAATTAGTGGGGGGGTGGGTGGGTAGCACAGGTGGAAGGGTGGTTAAAGTGCTGGACTCCCAAATGGCTGACTGCAGTTTGAGTCCCAGATCCAGCATCCTGAAAATCATGCAGGGCGCATATGCAAGCCTGCCCAAAATCCCAAGAAGAAAGGGGAGAAAGGATTGAAGCATGTCCATTCCATCTAGGGGGTGATTTCTTACTTTCTCTCTCTCTCCCATGAGCACACGTGCCCTGTGTGTGTCCGTGTGCCCAAAATCCCAAAGAGAGAGTGGAGGTGACTGGATTGTGGCAGGGCCAACCCCCATCACTTTCCCTCCTTCTGTCTCTCTGGCAAGTACTTGCACAATATCGCAAAAACGAACAAACAAGCAAAACCCCACAATGAGAAATTACTCATTAGGATGACTATTAAAAAAAATTCTTAATAAAAAAAAGTTTTGGCAAGAATGTGAAGAAAGTGGAACTCTTTGGTGAAATTATACAATGGTGTGGTCACTATGGAAAACAACATAGCTGTTTCTCAAAAAATTAAAAATAGTATTTCCATATGGTCCAACAGTGTTACTTCTAAGTGTATATACAAAAACATTCACCTCATTTGAGTTACCCAATCAAAAGTATGTAAAAGTGTGTATAATCATATGAGGGGGACAAGAAGACTAAAACAAGTAAAAGGGAGGGCCCCCAGAAATTCGGGACTCAGCCTATGAATATAAATACACTGACCCAGAGCTAGCACACTGATAAATCACTGTTTTCCTCCATAAGCCTCAGTGTCCTGTTTCTCTCTTGCTAGATATCCCACAACACATGCCCAAAAAGAGTAAGGCATCAAGTCACTGATCCTGAAAAAGCAAAGCTCGAGGAACATGTGGTGACCCTGACTCATTTTTTCATTAATACCATGGGAAAATTAACAGACTTTACATGAAATATGAGCTATAAATAAAAACTACAAAACCCAACAGTTACAGTTTGCATTTTTACCTGGATATCGCAGCTTTTTCCGTTATTTCCTGCTAAATGAGCCCAGATGGCTCAATGACATCCAATATAATTATGCTCCACAACTTATCTGATTTTGGCCTTTGCAACACAGCAGATTCATCCTCCACGTGTCTCAGCCAAAACTCAAGTGTTTCTTTAGGAAAGTGATTGGCTTCAGATATGAGGTCCAGAATGATACGATGTGAGTCTTTCTCCACAGAACTGTAAGGTTTAACCTTTCCAAGTGTGCCGGCAATTATAGGCAGAATGGAGAAGCCTTCAGACACATCTAACACATAGAAAGGTTCAGAGGAGCTCAGGACGGAATTATTCGGTGCAGGTCCAGAGCTCATCTCATTATTCTGACAAGGAGTATCCATGGCCTGAGACGCTTTCTCTGGGGTCAGTGAAGACAATACTTTCTTCATTGCCATTTTAAAACCTTCATGATACGGGATATTATTAAGCAAAGCAATTTCTGTGGATTCCAAAACACATATCTGCTCTATAGCATCTGGTTTACTGGTCTGAAGGTTAGCCAAGGCACTACAGAGTTCAGCCTCATTTCCTAAAGATGCCAAGTCTTTATTCCTAGTAAAACTTTGCGCAACATCCATTTCCTGTTCCAAACCCAAAACTTTGATATTCTGGATTCTTAAGTAACAATCTTGACAAGACACTTCCATCATCACATGGTCTCCAGGCTTTATCCAGCAGTCTTCATTAAATAGTAAGAAAGAAAAAACGTTTAACTGATTAATATAACGTGCTTTTAAAAAGTCTGAAGATCACACAAAAATCTCTCCTCTCATCTAATTTCACCCCAACCCATTCTTTAAAATCATTACAGGAAGGATTATAACTATTTATTTAATATGCCAAAAAAGTAGGAAAATCCAAACAGGCTTACTTAGGGAAAAACAGAAGCTTGAAGATTCAATTAACACATAGCACAGTAGAGATTCAAGAGTCCCATTACTGGACCCACAGACTATCAGCATTTTGGTTGCAGTTTTTACTGCAATCACACAATATGATCATGTCGCAAAACAGTGGAGAGCTCTGTCATCTTTAGTGATAAAGTTAACAATAACAAGACACACAAAATTCAGGATCAACACCAAACCCACACTTCACCTTAATGGGATATTGTATTATCTGACAAAAATTCCCAAAAGACCAGGGATTCTACAGATTCTCTAAGTGGTAAGAACTTCTACACTAAATTAAATACTTTCTGTAAAAAAAAAAAAGGGGGGGGGCAGCAGGTGGTGTGGTGGTTAAGGTGCTGGATGCCCACATGCCGACTGCAGTTCAAGTCCCAGACCTGGCGGCTTACTTTCTCACTTCCCCAGCCCCCTCTCTCTCTCTGTGTCCCTCTCTGGTAAAATTAAAATGAATAAATAAATAAACAAAGTTTAATAAAAAAAATAATTCTTAAAGAACAAAAAAAAGACCAGCATTTCTTTCACCTACTAATAACTAGAAAAATCTGAGTTAAATCACATGTATTAACTATTTAAAACTACTTTTGAAATAGGAAAAGAAAAAAAAAAATTGAAAGAGTTAACCAACCTCTATTGACTGAAAAGTCTCAGGTCTTGAGTACCATTTTTTGCTGACTCGAATGCTTAGAGAATTAAAGTGACATATTTTTTTAAAAACAAACAAAAATTACATATGACCTACCTGCAAGGTCCAGTACAGGGTAGACAGCCTGTTCCCAACACGTTTCCTCACTAGGACTCGTGGATAAACTGTGTTCATCATCAAGTTGAAGCACAAACCAGACCACAATAGCATCTAGCATGCCTTCGTTACTAACAGGAATAACAATCTTATCAGGTGTTTTCGCTGTAAGACTTTTTAATTCCTGAGAAAAAATGTGAAAGGAATGAGGGTTTTAAACATTTAATATATACATGCCTCAATCTCATCCCACTTTCTATCTTGGAAGCTCTCAGTTCTACCCAGCATCTTTTGAGAAGCAGTACCTTGGCACACTTGTAACCATCTAAGGCACACCGGATGGGATGTCCTGCCCTATTACACTGGAATACCATGAAGCTGTTAAAATGAAAGAGGCAGATACACTACGGATGTGGAAATAAATCCATGACATAATGTTAAGTCAAAAAGGCAACTGGCAAAGCAACAGGGATTGCCCTGATGTTATTAAAGAAAAAGAAGGGTCAGATGGTGGTGTGGAGGTCAAGGTAACTAGATCCCAAATGGGTTCAAGTCCCAGACCAAGCTAGTGCATGTGCATGTGTGCCCAAAATGGTGAAAGAATGAAGAGATTACTGCATGGTCATCCCTCTGGGGGCAGAGGAGGGACGTTCTCTCTCTCTCTCTCTCGTGTGTGTGTGCCCTACAGCAAAAAAAAAAAAAAAAAAAAAAAAAAAAAAAATTAATTAAGAAAAAAAAGTATGTGTAGAACAGAAAAGCAAAACAAGTCTGGAAGATACACATTAAACTAGTGA